CCCTGGCACGTTCACGCCGGAACTCTACGTGACACGTCACGGATTCATTTCGGAATGCCTGGAGCGCCAGCGTCCCGTGCTGCTCCCGGGCAACGATCGTGAGTGGCTGAGCAGCGCTACCCCTGCCGCTGGCCTATTCCCACTGAAAGTCCCACATGGGCACGTCGCGGATCCATTTCAGAAAGCCTTGAACACGAGCGTCCCGAGGTGAACTCGGTTTCGGCTTGGGCGTCGCGATCAAAGAAAGGATGCAGGCCTCGCACGCGTGTGTCGGTCGAGGTCAGTGCGGTTTACCTCGTTGCGCGCCACCTCCTGTGTCCGCGGTTGTCGTCCACCCGCGTTGTTGCTGGGTCCGTGCGCGCCTTGGCGTTCTTGGTATTGAAACAGCGCATTCGAAACAGGCGTCTGTCAACGTTGCTGGCAACTGACGTGTTGTGGTGCGTTGCGGAACCTTTGTGCAATCAGCTTTGTTGCAGTATTGATGCACGGCGGTATTGATGCAACATTGGCCGCAAATGCATCAATCAGTCCTGATGTGACGTTGACATGCTGGGTCACTGCTTCAACGTTGCAGCAACGTTGATGGGTGGTAGTGGGCCAGCAACATTGCCGCAATGTTGCCGAAAGACACCTTGCCGCGTCGTTGACGAACGCCGGCATCTGTGAGCCGTTGCTCAATAGGCCTTGCCTCAACATTGCTAGTCATTGCTTCAATGACCCCGTTGCCTCAAGCCCCATCAACATTGCATCAACGCCTACCGAATTTCCAGATGCATAAAGTGCAGCGGGTTTTGCGACTGTGAACCTTCCCCGTGGGCAGGCTTGTTTTTTACGCCGTAAAAACTGATTGTATTTACATTCTCACGCGCAAAAAATAGTTATTACGATTTCACTCGTAAAAATGCGTAAAATACGTAAATGCAACATAAAAACTGCCCGGTGTACATCAGGACAGTACATACAGAGTTACGGAGTCCGGGGGGTAGCAGTCAGAAGCCCTGGAATGTGCAGAAAACGAGTTTTTGTTAAGCACCATCATCGTCCTTGCCAAGGGCGAGGTGGACATTGTGTTGTGGGTGCTGGAGATGGTGGAGGACTGACCATTGTACGCAACTTTTATCGTGTAACCTGGGTGTCCCAGGGAGCCGTAAAACGTAAAACTAAAAACGTAAACGTAAAAACCAAGCCTGCTCGTAGGTTGCCCTCGCGGAGGGGCTGGCGATGAACTGATGAACTGATGAACTGATGAACTACAATGAGCGCAGATGCCAAAAAGGCACTTGTTCCAGAGCAGCCTGGTGCTTCCGACTGTGGTTGGCGGCTTGGCGCTTGGGGAGCGCCGGGGCGACATGCGAGCGCACGGCCAGAAGTTCGGGAATGTCCTAGGGGACGCGCTGGGCGTGCGGACTGCCAGTTTCCGCTCAGCTCCCAGACCCAGCCCAGCCCAGGCGGCGGTGGTCCTTGGGGCCCGCCGTCGAACTGGGCTCCCAAGACGTCCGCCGCCGCAGGGACGTCAGTTGGACTCGGATTGACTCAAGCCTCCGCGGCGTCTTTGTAGGACGCAGGGCGGGCGAGGAGGGCGACTTCCGCAGCCATCGTCCGGAGTGCAATCAACCGCCAGCGCGTCTGCGCTGCTGCGCGATGGCTGGCGCGGGCTCCAGGCACGGACGGGTTGGGCTGCGCGGATGCCAGGCAGGGCAAACGGGGCTGCGAATGGGGCGATCCGCCGGACTCTCCCAAGGTGAGCGGGGGGCGGGATGCTTGCGCTGCGGCGCCCCTTGCCCCCCGGCTCGCTGCACCTGTGATTTTGGCTGTGGATCGTCCTCTGGCCGGCTCGTGCAGAGCGTGTCCGGGTCCTGTGGGCTCAGCCGCGATTGCGCACTCCTGAACAAGAGGAGGGGCAGTTGGGTCGGGCCAATCCGTGTGACAGTTGCGGTGCCAGCATGGATGGATGGCCTCCTTGCCCCAGAGCGGATCGATGGGTAATTTCCGCCTGCCATCGCGACGGGCGTCGGCCCCATCTTCGCTCAGTCGGTGCTGGTACTATTTTGATTCCGCTGAAGCGCAGTTCAGGATCGTGGTCTGGCGGGTCAAGGGCGACGGTTGGGGGCGTCGCACCACGGGTCAGTGGCGTTTCCCGATGCGGGAGGGGCGCTGATGGCGGATGTGGAGCGCAGCACCGCCGTGGCGTGCCGCAGCACAAAACCGTGCCTCCTCTGTTGCCGCCTCTGCGTGTGGCGCACGACGTGTGTGGGAAAGGGGACAGTTCTTGCTGACGGGGGCAACTCGCGTGCACGGCGTGTTTTTGTTTCCAACACTCCATCTCAACGCCCGCACGCGAAGCCCCACTGCGTTTTCGAGCGCCGGCTGTGCACTCTGTTACCTCGGTGGCGCCCATGCCCGTTGCCGCTGTTAGCGTCTCGCTGGAATCCATCCGGGCAGCTATGTTTGGCATCTGCTGAGTTTGCGCGGCTGGTGCTGCTGCACGCCGCGCCTCTTACTTTGTGGCCCACAGCTGAGCCGGCGCCGGTCCCAACTTCCTGCAGGTGGCCTGGAGGATGAGCCTGGCTGAAGACCTGCTGGGCGGGCTGCGCGCCTCGCAGGCGCCACCCGATGACTCCGACGGGGATGAACCCTTCAAGAACTTCATCATTGGTCGCGTTGCTACGGCTAGAACTGATTGAGTGTTATTAATAACTGAATGTGTGAAAAGATGACGAAGCACTAGGAATTGCATTAAGGATGTTGATGAACGGACTGGTTATAAAGGACAGAACGTCTGTTGTCCTTTTGCCTCGGCTGTAAACCGTTGCCGTGGACTCGAGCGTACGATTCCCGTTCAGGGATCGCCACCCCTCGACCCTGCCCGCCTTCGTCAGCGTGACCCTGCAGACCAAGAATGGCTGCGTTGGTGCACCTGTTGCTCTGATTTCTTGTGGGCTTGTCGTTTCGAACCTGCCCATCCTCAGAGCGGCTGAACTCCTTGCTTTGCTTTTTGCTTCTCACGAGACAAATCTCTTGCACCTTGAAGGAATGTGGTCATTGCGACAGCGTGGCAAAGGCACACTCTTCATTGCATGTGCCTATTGTGAGTAATCAGACAACACTGTTTTCCACATTTCTGTATGCAGTTTTTTTGTATATTGTGCTGTTGCCTACAACAGCACCAAAATGCTTGGTGGACAGTGCACCCCTGCCCCCACGTTGTGGGCACGCACAAAGCAAAACATGATGGCATACACCAAACGACCCAAAGCGCCCTCCAAAGGAAAGGCTAGTGAATATAAACGTAAGATCAAAAAAACAGACACAAAACACCATCCTCTCATCCCGTTCGTTCAGCTGGCCCCTCTCCTGAACACGAAATTTGTTCGCTCGATGGCTCACTCAATCAGTCGCTTGCCCATTCATTTCTACCAATCAGCTGCTCACCCTCCCAAACCAAAAATCGATCATTCACTTGTACTTTTGTTCAAGGACACATACATTCATTCATTCACTGCAACACGTACAAGGTGCGGCTTGAGAACAAGGGAGCGAGGTCGAAGGTAACATGCTTCAGTCCTTGTCTGTCAGCAAGAGACGCATCTTTAAAACTCAGGGCTGTAAACATCAGCAGAAATGAAAAAGACTGCGGGCACGGCAACAATTCTTTGTCTGGAAAGACGTGTCTCGCTAACGAAGTGTTACATATTGCATATGCGTGTCTCATTCATGCTCTGGTTGTCTGGCATTGATGTTACCTGAAACAAACGCCCAAGGCATAGTGCAGGGACACTGCACATCCCTTTTCCGGAGCTGACTGAATGCACATCTGGTCACATTGCAATTCAAAGTAACTAATGAAGAATACCAAGGGCAAGGAGGTGGCCGTCAGCTCCCTATCTGGCCCAGGAAATGCATTGTCCATTATTTGCTCATTGACAAGCAGGGTATTGCACCAATGATATCCACATGTAATATGTCACCACAACCACTATCAGTCGCCCACTTGTTGACATGCGAACTGCCCACAGCATGCCTGTGAATGAACTTGGACTCTGGTGCAAACAGTCACCCTTGCAATGTGGGCTTAATGGCAGCTATTTCAATCATACATGCAAATACACTGCAGTTAAACATCTGCCAGCAGATGGAAGTACTACCCACCTGTGCTGGCGATCGGATGGGAATGTCCATGAGCAGCCAGCATAGTGATATATGATCAGCCTGACCTGCGTGACGAGCTCCAAGCTATGGCCAATGTTTGCGTCACGATGGATGAATACACTTCCAGATCCTGGAGACTGTGAGCCATGTAGCAATCCTGCTGAAATACTTCCATTTTTGGCCTTGAAATGCTGAAACACAGCCCATTATTACTGGCTGATCGTCCCAATCCCAGTAAAAACACTCCTGATGGTATGCAGGCATGGGCATCGCAGGTATCCAAATCCCAGCTGCTCTGTCCCCATTCCCTTGTTTTAAAAATGACTATTGGAGGACAATGACAGTGGCATCTGATGCATTTCGGAGTCCACCAGATGCGGCACAGAACTTGACGGGAAAGCACACGAGCTGCCCATCAATAGCCAGTGCCCTCCACATGAGGCCATCAGCAGCTGCAGCTGTGTGCTTCAAGGGATTTGAGAAACTGTCAGAAAAAACATCCAAAGAAACATCCATTGAAAACATGTTTGTTTCTGCAAGTGTTAACCTTAGATATTCATGTTTTCCCCACATAACAGCTGCAAAAGAGTGTCCTGAGCGCCAATTTACGCCCTGCTATATGCACAGTCCATCGCCCGCATCTGTGGGAGGCACGCCGATCCAAAGACACCCCGGCCAGCACAGGTCCCTGAGGGGGCCCATTCTCCATTATCCAGCGGCACACACCAACGCCCAGGCCCCAACTCAACGGCGCCCAGCGTTCAGCCCTTTGTGGCAGCGACCGCCCGACAGTCATCCGTCGCCCATGTTTTTGCCATGCCCACCACAACACTGCTCCACCGGCCGGCCCCTCACGCCTCGTTCCTGGGGAACGCCTTCTTGTTCCCCCACTCCGTCATGCTCAGGTCCCTGGCCGACCCGCTGTCCAGCACCCACGTCAGGCGGCCCTCCGCGGGCCGCACCATCTGCGCGGGCAGCGCGCCGGGCAGGGCCTGAACCTCCAGCACCCGCTGCACGGCCTCCGCCTTGCCCTCCCCCAGGGCCACCACCAACACCTCCCTCGCCGCGTTGATCGCCGGCATTGTGAGCGTGATCCGCTCTGGCGGCGGCTTGGGCGAGTCCGTCACGGCCAGCACCCAGCCCTCGGTGGCCCCCGTCTGGGGCGCGTTGGGGAACAGGGACGCCACGTGGCCGTCGGGCCCGATCCCCAGCAGCACCATGTCGAAGCGCGGCATGCCGGCGTCGTCCCTCGGCAGGACGCCCGCGTCCAGGCCCAGCAGCCGCCCCTCGTAGTTCACGGCCGCCTCGGCAGCGCCCAGCCCCTCGGCGATGGCGTGGATCTGGGCGGGAGGGATCGGCACCTTGGAGAGGAACGCCTCCCTGGCCGCCCCGTAGTTGCTGTCCGGGCTGTCGTGCGGCACCACCCTCTCGTCCACCCACACCACGTGCCACTTGTCGAACTCCGCGCCCCCACCCACCAGCGCCGACAGCGACTTTACCAGCGATCCGCCGGACAGCACCAGCGTGAACGCGCCCCGCTCCGCAATCGCGCTGGCCGACGCCTCCAGCACCATCTTGGCCAGGCCCTCCGCGGCCAGCGCGGGGCTCGGGTACTGCATCACGCCGCACTCGAACTCCCCATCGGGGTACAGGAACGGGTGGCGTGTGACGTCCATGAACGCGCCCTTGGATGTCGAGAGCGGTGCCACGGCGCCGGAGTCCATCAGGTGGGCGCCCATCACGGCTGGCACGCCGTTGGGCCAGCGGCTCTTCGGGATCTCGTGGATGAAGGGCTGCGCTTTGGAGGATCTGGCCGGGCTGGGGGGCTGCCGAGAAGGGTGATCGGCGGGCGCGGCGGGATGCGCGGCGACGTCCGCGGTCGAGCGGCTAGCGCCGGGGGCCGAGGCGCGGGCCGCGGCCTTGGGGAGGGGCCGGGGAGGGCGCGGGGTGGCTGTCTGCGGCGGGAGCCTGCCGGCGAGGCTGTGCATCGCTGGCGGGGCCCGGAGCGGCGCGGGGGCGGAGGCAGGCTTGGTGAGTCGGTGGGGAACCGCTACCTCATTGCCTTTTCATGCAACAAAACTGATGATGATGATGAGGTGTGGTGGGAGTTCGCGACAGCGCCGTTTGGTGCGCGATTTGTGGGCGTTTGGAGAGTGGGGGGTGTGCTGTTGCATCATTAGATTTCAATGAACCAATCACCGACTCTGCTTTGCTCAGGCAAAATAGGAAGCTGACGGCTACCTCATTGCCTTGTTCTGTAAAAAATCATGATGATGATGATGATGATGCTGTTGCAGCTGGAACCGATTGAGTGTTATTAATAACTGAATGCATGAAAAGACGATGAAGCACTCGGAATCGCATTAAGGTCGTTGATGGATGGACTGCATATAAAGGACAGAACGCCTGTTGTCCTTTCCCTCGGCTGTAAACCGTTGCCGTGGACTCCAGCGCGCAATTCCCGTTCAGGGATCGACACCCCTCGATCCTGCCTGCCTTCGTCAGCGCGACAAAAAGATGGCCTAGATGTGAAGATTCGCGAGCAGACGGGGGGAGGTTGGTCGTGCGAGCAGCATGCCCTAGCCGAATGTGTCCAGCAACACATAACTGCGTATATGTGGTCTTGTGTGGTCCACAAACTGGAAGTGCTGGATGTGGGGAAGTGTTGCCGTGGCCAGGAAACCCCCTAGGCTGTAGGCACATGGTTTTAGCCAAAATAGGCGCAAGAAAATGTGTGGCAGCTGAAAAGAGTTGCAGGAGGCCACAGTGCTCAGGGTCAATATCTATGATGTAACATCACAGCCTTTTGCTTCGCCTGTGCTTGATTACCTGGGGACGGGAAGAATGGAAGTGCAGTGAGCATCTGGGATGTGAAACCCTCCATTGAATGAGATATGGTGTGCTCTGTGGACCACACGTGCATTCCATCATTACTTACACGTTCTCTTCATACAAGTTCTTTTCTCACCCACCAAAACTGTGTGCGTCTAGCACACTGAATTCCTGTCCGCAATCAACTACTGGGTCCCAGGGCCAGAAACCCTAGCACCGAAATCGGCATTTCACATCCACATGTGTTACAGTTCTGATTCGCACAACATTCACTTGCTATGCGATGGCAGCATATGGATGGATGGCCACCAATGGAACCTGAGATCTGTTGCTGCCATGATTCTCACGCAGTTTCTACAAGGAAAGACTCCTGGATGGCCTTCAAATTCGCCTGTGATTTGCGCCATTGTCGTGAATTCGCTGTCACAGAAATGATGAAAAGCCGGTTTCCGAATGCAGTCGCAGAAACAAATGCACGGGGCTTCAACTGCCTGAGTAGAGGCACACAGATGTCAGCAACATGTACGGAAGCTTTATCAGCCCGCAGCTGAGCCAGGGAACGGCCAGAAAGAGCATAGAAGGAAACAAGGTTGAGCCCCACGATTCCCACTACCTGTATCAACAATGTACAGAGAAGGAGCTATGACCTGCAGACCTTGTGTTGGTTCACAAGGCTCTGTGGGACTTCTCGGACATCAAGCATTTTAAAAGGGTGAAGATTTTGGTCTCGCAATAGAATGCCTGTTTTTCATTGAGAGGATCAAGTAATTCCTCTCTGCTGCACAATGTAATTTGTGTCCTGGAGTCTGCGTGTCTGCTGTTTCATGACCTGCACAAGTCTGGGCATGGCGATGCATGAACCACCACCCAAAGGGAGCACATCAGACCAGGGGTTAGTAACAGCCACACAAATGCCCAACCGTACACAACATACCACTGGTAGTACGGAATGTCCTTCTTCTTGATGACCGTTGTGTCCACGACATCTGTTTCTTCGACGGGGTAGCCAAACAGCTCAGGACCGAAGCCAGAAATGATTTTGTCTGGCTCACCAAGTTGATCAATTCTTACGTCTGCATTGTTCCCAACATCTGAAAACCGAAGAACTGGGGCCACCACAACCTGCAGCTCCCCTTCATCATCGTTTGCAAATCGCAAGTCTATCTCGGTTCCCCCAAGGTCAGCGATGGAGACAGGAACTTCTGACCAGCCCTCTGGGATCTTGAATGTGTACGGTGGAATCTCGCTCCAGCCCACGCCATGCCCTCCAGATTTGCCTGGCGGCCTCTTATAAGTGTAGAAACCCTGGGCATCTGGCGATGCGGACACACCTGCAAGGCAAGAGAAACAAGTTTGGAGTGCACAACATTTGAAAGATCAAACCTCTGAACTGCCAGGCACAGTTTATGTTTTGCTGTTATCCTGCTTCCATTGATTAAGATACAGTTGCCGAAACGGGGTGCTGCATGTAGTCCTTTTGGTACAGTCATGGGAGCAAAATTCTGATGCGCAAATGCTTGGACGCAGACTTGATGAACACGCCACTTAAGCAACGGATACAAAAGAGGCTAGAACCAGGAACGCTGGTTTTCATTCTTTATGCGCCCCACGCTGGAACTACCTGCATTGGCAGAAATGCAGATCAAAATTCCGATTCCAGCCCCCACACTCAAAATGGAAACTGCTTCATTAAGCCCCTCGGAAATCAGTTCGTGGCAATTTTTCGCCGTTCCCCCCCGGTCTTCCATGGAATATTCTTTTTTCATGCCATCCATCCACCCCTCATCTCTTTCACGTACCCACTAGCGGAGTAGATATCCCGAGAGTACATTTCCCTCCCACAATTGAGAAAAGGCGTCAAGGCGGTGCCTCGAGCAGCGGATTTTATGAGAACACCGGCGACAAATAGAAAGGCCACCCAATGAATCAACAAGACCAAAAATCCGCGCCAAGCGCACCCGGAATCCTGCCAGCAGTGTAACCCTGCACGGCCTCCGCGCGTCGAGCGTCCAGAGCGGCAGCAAGGCCCACAGTCAGCGCCGAGGCCGCCATGAGCTCCCTTCGCGACCAGCGCACGCCCTCATCGCCAGCAGTCTCCTCGCCGTCCCTACTCGCGCAAACCCTGCCCCATCGCTGAGTGCGGACGGGGCGGCCCGGACAGCCGGGCGCAGCGCGCGCTGCCGGCCTCTGAACGCCACCGACGGCTTTGACGAGGCTAGGCGGCTGCGAGGGCTGAAGGCCCGCTGGCATTGGGCGCTCCGAGGTCCCCGGGAACTCGTGCTCGCCGTGAGCTTGGCTGCCACCCACCGCACGGCGCGCGCTGAAGGGCGTTGCCACCCCGCGCTAAGTACTGGGACGAATGCAGCAGCAGCGGGCTCGACGGCGTGGTGGCCGAAATCCTGCAAAATCTCCAACTGCAGGTTTGTCAGCCGCATTGGCGCAGTCCGGCCATCGGGACCGCGCATCTGAGACACATGTGTCTGGGGAAGCACTGCCAGACTTTCCAGGAGGTTATCTCATTTCGCTCTGCCATAACCTCCCAAAAATTAGTTATGAGGGAGCATGACCTGGGCCTCCGCAGGAGTTGGTACCCAGATTTGAGTTTTTGGCCATGTCTGCGTCTGGTTGAAATTGCAGTGGTGGGTTGGTGAGGAGAACTCCACGTCCGAGGCCGGGGAGTGGGGCGGGCAATGCTGTATTTTGGGGGCATGAACCACGCCGACATCCTTTTCAGGTGCCCGTGGTAATCAGTCACGATATGCCCAAAACGCTGGAGTCTGTGCAACAAAAGCCGTAGACAATTCGTCGTTCCGCTCAGGGCATTTTTCAGCTTGAGTGAGGTTTCAATTTTCAGATATTATTGTGAGCCGAAGCAGTTCTAGCAGCTGGAGAGACCGAACTCAGAGCTGAGCACACAACTCACTCAGTCTGGCTTCACTTTCAATGTTGCGAGTGTTTTGAGGCGCTGAATGTCAGAGGCCTGACAGTAACCCGCTGTAAAGATCTGTGCCCGGGCATGGCACGACCCTTCGGGGTTGGCACAGCAGAATTCAACATGCGGAAAACACCGTATATCGATTCACCGCGTCGAAATGCGATTGAAATCGCCACACACTGGACGCTGGGCTTATCCCTTGGCAGGGAACCACCCGCCCGACCGTCAGGTCCCAACCTCACTTCGTGAGGAGGCCCGTTCAGGTGCTCCGGTTGTAAGCAAGAACGCTCTTACAGACCGGGGGCGGCTACAATGCGCACCCCCGCCACTTTATACATTACCGCGGTCAGGTTCATACGACAAAATGAAAGGTCCACAAAAAGGTCCACCTAAGGATCCAGATCCTTCCTGTTGCGGCCCCGTCGGCGGCCGCTGGTTTCCGGAGGCGTGGGGGTCGCCCTGCCCTGCGGCTCGGCTGTTGGAGGTCAGCCGGCTCTCTCCACCTCGGACGGTGGGCGTATCCGGGGCAGTCGAATCGGCGGTCGCGCGGTGGGCCCAATGCTCGACGGGGATCGATCCCCAGGGCCTGCTGTCGGCGAGAGGTGGCGGCGCAGCGAGGTGGTGGTTCGCTGGCTCGCGGGAGGCCAGAGAGTGGGCCAAAGGATGTTACATGGATTCACAACATGCGCGCGCACATGTCGCATGCGCGATGCCCGATCGCGGGTCCATCGCGGTCACATCATGATAAGACAAGACAAGTGCACGTCCAGGCACATCGTCACCGTCCACCGTTCACCTACAATCGACCCATTCCTCCTGGTGGCGTCTGCTTGTTGTGCTTGGCGACACCCGATGCCGCCCGTCGATTACCTAAGCCTCGGCGCTTCGCATGCACCGGTGCGTCACCGTCTCCGGGGTCGATGTCCGGGGACCCGGATATGCAGGTGCTGTTGCCTGATGCAGTGGTGGGCCCTGGAACGCGTCCGACGGGCCTGCCGTGCGGGGGTATGGTCACACAACGGGACGCCCCGGCCCGAGCCGTGCGGCGTAGCTGCCCGGCCTCGCGGCCCGTGGGCACAGGAGCAGGAACCAAGCGATTACAGACACAGGGGGCAGACCAACCCCCTTTACTCTCCAGTGATTGGTCCAATCAAAACCAATCACCCGTAAAGTATAGACATCAGTAATACACGACAATGTCACATACCCAATATCAGCTCACCGTACCCATTCGGACCCCTGGGTCGCTATTCCCAGCCAGGCCAATCCCCTTGGCCGGTCCTCAAGTACAAAGACTACCACTGACCATAGAACAGTCATTTCTAAGGGGAATAAGGCAAATAAATAGGCTAGGAATATCTATAAGAAATAAGCAACCCATATAAATGGTCCATTTCCATTAATCCGTATATTCAACTCCATTATGGTCATAATTAACTCTACCCCCTTATATTTCCATAACAGTACTTCCCCCTTAGGTGAGTTTTCGCCCTCGAAAACATGAATGAAGTCAATGTCTTCTATTGGCTACCCAATGGTTGACCTAACCAAATAAAGTCAAGCCCCCCTCAGGGTTACTCCAATGACCACAATGATGATCTCCCGTGGAATACAAGGATACGTCCATGTTCGAGAAGAAAATCCAACCAATCCTCTCGCCACTGGTACCTCATAAGTATCACTGCAACAGCTGCTCATCTAATCACAATGCCTCTAGTCGGGGTCTTCTCATCCAACTGCCAGATACACTTTATGTTCGTCTTCTATAGAAGCAGTGAAGACAAAAATATAATAGAACCTGTGCCCGAGTACAACAGGTCACCATAAAGTGCGTACTCTCCATACACTCTTTAGGCCGCTGGTAGACCTAGAGCATCCGGCAATCCACTAACCCAACCAGGCAAAGAAAAGCAACAATATGTATGAGCCATCTGTCCATCAAGGAACATAGCAATGAACCACTAAATCATAGTTCCGAGATGAATCCTTCAGGTTTTCACTCCCCTCAGAACTGCAATGTACCTTAGTCATTCCAACACTGTCTCCACTGTGACAAGGTATCCCAATGAAAGACCTCCTGACTCCTCACAACATGATCTATCATCACCTCCATCTGTGTCAATCCCATTATCAACAATGTAAACAAGGCCTGGCCTCAACTTCGGGTGTCCCATACCACTGTCGGTCTTACCAGCACCCAGCCACCTTGTTTCAAAGACTGCATAATAAAACATCCAGGGATCTAGAAGCGATGATATCCACAAGGAAAACTCTACGAAAATGATCCTGCTCACAACTATACCTCAGAATGATCCAACTGTGAACAAGTCATGATATCCACCAATATCCGAGTCTCCTCTAGCAATGAATCCATAGATCATGCACCACCACATCTAAGTCAGCGAAATCCCAACACAATAGAAATATGGAATTGGGTTGTGGCTCCTTTTGAGAGCTGATGTCTATGGTTCCCATTTTTCTTCTACCTCTCTCTCGGAATCCAGAGTTCTGTAAAGAATGACAGATAAATTTGAATTGTTCTCCACTTCCTTCCATCCATACCCTCGGACAGAATCATCTCAGTTCCAGATGTCCCCAGACCATCCAGTATCCTTAGAATAAGAAATTTCAGTCAGACATATAACACCCTGTCCAACTGCTCTCCGGCATGGGTCTAGCCAAATATGACCATGACTGTTGAACATGGGAATATATGAAAGTTTCCTCATGTCACAGCCACCAATCTCAATGCCAAAAATCAAACAACCAAAACAACCGACCGGTATCAAGACAATCTCCACTGAATCAACTCATATAATGTGCCTCAATGCCGATGCAGGTACTATCCCAGCTGCTGACCACCATTAAGAAAGGACTCATCGAGTGCGATCTAGTGGCCTCCTGTGTATGTGTAAGGAAAAACCACAGACCTAATATTGGCCACAATTTTTGGACTCCATCACTGGTCTCCGATACTGCCCATAGTGCTCAGGACGTCATCAGTCCGCCTCCTATTATAATGCCCGGAGGAAGACACTAGAATGATACGGCTCCTCCTATTATATACCGGGAAGTCACGGCAACCTCCTATTATATGCCGGGAAGTCCATTCATTGGCCGGGCATCCCCAATTTTTAAGGACTGGGGGAAACTGCCTCTTACGAACACAAGGCGACCGTCCAAAACTCCGCTATGCCCAAGAATACATATGTGTGACCCATATCCACTATATCCATCTCATGCACTCGAATCATCATAGACCCGCAGAACACACCCAATATAGGTCATCAGTGCTAGCTCTACCTGCCCCGGTCAACCGACACCAAGTGCACAGGTCTGCTAACCCCTATATCCATCCACTGATATCGACCTAATGTGCCTGCGCCTGATATGAGGATTACTGAGACTAGAAGTATCCTCTGTCCTCTGGCTCCATGCTACATCCAGCTATGTACAGCTACTTCCCCCCGGGGGACATCAACCGTCCTCGGCGATGCTTGGACCGCAATGAGTCCAACTGGCTCCTGCTAACCGAGTACTCAGTGTCTAAACTCGAGAACACTGAGATAACCAATCGATGTTCCCAGTTGCACATGGGGTATGCAACGGTCCGTTACGAGAGATAGAGTGCTGCTGACTGTGGACAACTCTCTAGTGAGAACTGGGCACGTAAGGCAACATGGCCTTCCTGTGTGAGACTGCTACCATCAATAGCTCCTCTCAGCAGTTCACTACACAGGAAGCATCAACTCAAGAGAGAAAGTAATCACCAAGCCGACCAGCTGCTGATGACACCTCGTAACTCCCCTCTATACGTAGAGTCGAAATCATAGCATACCTTAGTGCTCCCCCATTAAGTCAGCGTGAAAGAGTGTCCAGGTCTCACCATACCCATGTGATACACTCCTCACAAATAAATGATGAACTGGTGACATGGACAGAATGGTGGGAATCCTGTGCAAGACCCACTACTTCTCAATGTTCACCAATTCCCAACACACGTGTGTGATTACCATTACTATAGCCGTCAGAGTAATGGTCATGAATCCAGCTCTTGGGTCTGAGGCTGCCCACAGCAATAGAGTCTGGACCAGTCTCTATCCTCTAATCCAGCAATACAGAGGTCCTCGCCAATACTGACAAGGGCTGAGGCCACCTAAGTGGGTGCCCTATTCGCCTAAATAGGCGCCCTGCATAGTTGCCACAGAGACTGTACATGCTGCAGTTCGGTGTATGTGTCTGCGCAGACATGTCACCTTGCGTCCTCCACTACCGCTATCACTGATGGACGCATAGTAAAACCGAAACTGAGCAA